GCTGATTTGTTGCTGACTGACAGTCTCTCGTATTGATATATAAAACACACACCCCTTTGCTGAATGAGGCCCTCCCCTGAGAAAGGAGGGGGTGCTCATTGAAGATTCAGGGCTTCTCTGCCATTCCTGTGACTCAACCTCACTCTTCCTTTTCTTGGAGATGCCCACAGCCCCACATTCCTGTGCAGTGGCAAGAAATCACCATTCTTCTGCAATTCCAACAGGAGACAGAGGTTAGAGAGAGAAGCAAAGTGCGGGAAGCATACCCCACTGAGGGTCTTCTGGGGACAGACATGGCACCCTGGAAATGGACTTTCAAATGCCGTGGCTTTGTTCTGTCCCTGCATTCTTGAACTAGAATAAGGTCAAGGCAGATCAGGGTGCCCCCTCCCTCTAAAAAATTTAAACCTCCAGATTTCTGGAATGAATAACCAGCATCTAACAGTAGTCTCAATGTAGCAGGCGAAACACACACACACACACACACACACACACACACACACACTTCCCTGAGCAAGCCCCACTCTGGAAAGGAAGGACTGTAATTTGCGGAATGGTGCCATGGTACAAGCTGGAAGGACAGGAGATGTTACACTCAGGCAGTAGAGGCAGGCAGCTAGCCCTGTGACGCGCCAACAGCTTTAAGAACAAGGTCCTTTCTGCTTCCAAATGGGGGAGAAAAGTTCGTTTCGCCTCTTTCTTCTCAGTATTTCAAGAGGCTTCCTCCTCTCCCCACCCCATCCCGGACACAGTCCTCAGAGTTTCAGGTCATCCATTGGCAACACCCAAAGGGGAGGGCAGCAGGAGGGTCTGGGGCCAAGGAGGACCGCTTCCCCACGTAGAATCCTTCTTCCCTGGTGGCTCCCAAATCCGGCGTTTTCTCTGCTTGCCTTTCCCTCTGGGAGACTAGGAAAGGCTGCAAAATCTGGGCGCCCGCTCGCTCGCTTGTCAAGAAGCAAACTGTCTTCACATTCTCCAAGAGTAACATCCCTGCCTAGGAAGAGGAAGGAAGAGGCAAAATAAATAAAACCAGTTAATGTTGTAGTTAACTTGCAAATCAAGTAAATCTGTTGGTGCCGTATTTGAGAAATAAACCATCAGAGCGTCACAGCAAACACACACTTCTGAACGTCTTCATTTTGATTTAATGGTATATCAGCGTCAACTATCGCTTCCTCTGCTGGTACACACGGCCTGATGCCGCGGGAGGAGGGTGCCCATGTTTATCACCGAGTGAGATGACTAATTACACCTTGTCAATCACCGGCTATGAAGACATAAAACCAGCGCACACAATGAAGTAGTTGCCTGCAGCGTCAATTAGTTGGCGATTCGGAGGTTATTGCATGGCCCTGCTTCGGCCGCCTCTAATAACGGGACCCAGCGCCGCGAACAGCGCACTGATCAATCACCCTCCTTCCCCGGCTCCCCGGCTCCCTCCTCCTTGCCCCCGACCCGGCCTGGCCTCACTTTCTCCGGGCCGCTCGCGCTTCCTCCCTCCGCGGCCCCGGCTCCGTGGCGCCGACAGCCCCGGGAGCTCCGGGAAGTTTGAGCGCAGCAGCTCCGCAGCCGGCAGCCGGGAGCCCCGTAGCCTTCGGGGAGCGCCCGGGCTGGTGGCCCCTTTGTTGGAGGAGGCGTGGAGGGGGCGCTTTTGTTCTGAGTTAGTCACGGTGGCCGGCTGGAGGCTGCTACCTCATTATGCGCCGGGTCTGCTCGTCTGCGAGGAAGCAGATGGTGGGGAGGTAGGCAGCGGCGAGAGTGGCCAGACCTGAATTCCGTTCACCTGTCACCTCCCACTAAAAGCAGGTTGGAGGGACTTAGGGGTTCTTCACCCCTGTTGGGGGTGGGGAGGCGAGGGGCCGCCGTTTGCGGCGCCTGCGAGCGTTCTGTGTACCTGTCGGTGCCCGCTCCCCCCATGCCTTTCCCTTGGCAGCGGCTTCTCGCACCGTGTAAATGTCACTCACGTGTCAAGATGTGTGTTTACAGCCTGTTCCTCTCCTTGTTTAGTCCCCGCGGACAGGGCTCAGCGGTTGTGCGACGTCCTCCTGCCGCTGGGGGGGATTAGCAAAGTTACCGGCCTCTGAACCCCGGGGCAGGGGCACCCAGATCCTGCCCCGCGGCGGGAGATGCATTTGAGAATCCAACCGACCTCGCACCTCCCAGCCTAGCGCGCTGGGGTAAACACGCGAGCGCACCGAGCGGGAATCCTGAGTCCCGGGAGTTTGGGTCGGTCCCGTGATGGATGGGAGGGCTGCTGGTCAGAGAGGTGGCGACGGAACCATGTGCATGTATGTAAGGAGGGGTAAAGAGCCGCGGGGTGTGTTTCCTCATTTCTTGAGCAGCCCGAGGCAAGAGTTACAGAGTACACCCCCTCCCTGCTCCTATGGCAGCCCTTGAGCTCTGGAAAACGTATTGAATCCTCCCAGCCCAGGAGCGGAGCTGCACCAAGGACAAATACTCCAGCGTTGTTACAAAATTTTTTCTACCCCTTGGACGACCTCCAGATGAACCCTGGTGACTCCCATATTAGATTCTCATCCCCCACGTTCTTTGAGAGAAAGTGCCCCAGATGTGTCAGCAAAACATGCCTATGTAATCCTGTAGGCGTCCGTCCCTGTGCCTGGGCGTGGGCCATGTGCACCCAAGTACACGTCTGTGTGAACACGCACAAGTGCCGTGTCTTTGGGTTTATGGTCCTTCCCTCGGGGTGGGGCATCTGTGCGTGTACACCCTGTACACACATACTTGTAACTTTCAGAGTTTTCTCAAATATGCAAACCATGACCTCGTTAAAAATGCACACAGGGATTTAAGTAGAGTAGCCTCAGCACGCATATGTATGTATACATACATACGAGATGTGCCGTTTCCAGCTGTCCAGATGCACCCTACTATGGGGCACTGGACACAGCATATTTTGGACCCTAGCTCTACATTAGTGGTGGCTGTGGTTTTGCCTGCAGAGATGAGTGTTCATGTACATCTGACACATGAACACTAGCACGTATGCTTGGGCATTACAGACACGCATATACTTACGTGTGAGAGCTATTTCATGCTGCCTCTGCTCTGCGTGCTGCAAGATAACAGAGATCCTGTGTTCCCCTTACCACTCCTGGCAAGCAGGTCACTACAGATTGATACCCTGCCCCCCATTAGATAGAGCCGGACATGGCTTCAAAGAGGACTTGGGAGATGGACCTCTGTAACTGACCTGCTCATTCACTTCTCTACCTTCCCTTCTGTCCTAAATCCTACTAAACCAGACGCTTGTCCTTGAGTCCTCAAGAGACTCGAGGTTGAGCATTAAGTCTAGAGGCTGGGAGTGGAAGATGGACCAGACTGTTGGTCCTTGGGTGGTATAGACAGAGAGTCGGGTGGATCCTCCACATCAGCAGCGTCTTTGGCATAGTGGGCTCAGTGGGCAGAGAATGGGCCTGTGGTCTTTAAGAACGTTGTTGATGCGGAATGTATCTCAGAAAGTTTTTTTAACAGGAGAGGGGAAAGAGGGAGTGAGCAAATGATTTACTGAGTGCCTGCTATGTTGCAGGCATTTCACACCCATGATCTTTCATTCATCACAGCCTAGTGGAGGGGCCCTGCATGTCTCCCAGTTGCATGTGAATGGCAGAGCTAGTATTCGCACCCTTGTCTTTCCAAGTCCTAAGACGGTGTTCGCCCCCACTCTTCTAGGCCGGAGAGAGATCGGGAATGGCGAGAAAGACCTGCACGCTGGGCCGTAGATTGGGTCCTGGTCGCTTGGAGTGAGGATAGGCTGGCTGGTTCTCCTCCCCGGGAGTCCCAGTTTCCGCCAGCTCTCGCCTCTCGGGCTCAGCCAGGTCCTCAGGAGGCCTGCGCGGCTGCTCGCAGCCCGCGGCGCCGAGCCGGGCTGTAGGCTGAGTTCGGCGGGAAGTGGCCGAAAGCTCTCGCAACTTTGCCCCAGGCCTGCCTTCCCGGGCCTCCCCAGCCGGTGCCCGAGACCGCGGCCTGGGCCCAGGGAAGACGAGAGTGAGACTTCTTCGAGCATCCTCTGTCTGCGCCTTCTTAGGATGGAGGCAGCGGGGAGAGGGTTTAAATTTCCTTCCCAAAGAAATCACAGGATACTGTCCGGTAGCTCAAAAACTCTAAACCCCGCGCGTTCCCTCCTCCTTCCCGCCCCCTCCCTCCAGCCTCGCCCACTAGCTCCCACCATCTCGTCTCTCCTCTTCTCCTCTTGCCTCTCCCCTCCCTCTCGGGTCTCCCGCCTTCCCGGAGCACGCGCTGCCAGGGCCTGGGGCGCTGGGCGGCCAATGGCGCGGTGGCAGGACGTGATGTCAGGCGCGGCTGTAGAAAAGGCGCGGAGGCTTGCGCTGGCGCGGACTGCAGAGCCGGGGCTGGGCTCGGCGCGCGCTTGGAGAGCATTGCGCGCGGCTGGGCCCGCGGCCGCCGGCTCCTCCTCCCACTCTGCTCCTCCTCCTTTTTCTCCTTCTCCACCTCCTCCTCCGCCTCCTCCTCCTCTTCCTCCTCCTCCTCTTCAATTCTCCCGGTGGCTCGGCTCGGCTCGCTGGCTTCGGAGAAACCCCTACTCCAGTCGCCGACTCAGCGCCCAAGAGGGTCGCCTTGGGCTGGGGGCGCACCCTAGGGAGGGGAGGGGTCTAGGCAACTGTACCGCCGCGGACACCTATTTGCTCCTGGGTGAACCCCGATCGCAGCCGTCGCTGCCTTGGGCAGAGTTTGCGCCCTGGGTGCCGAAGCCCGGCGGGCGATGCCCGCGGCGTGAAAGCGCCCGCGGTGGGCGCCGACCTCTGCCCTCATCTCCCGCCCCTTCTCCGCCCGGTGCCCTTGTGACCCTGGCTTTGGCGCCGTCGCCCAGGCGCCCCGCGATGTAGCTGCCCCCGCGCCTCGGCGGGAGGC